GAGCTTCTGATCCAATAGGCATGAAGTAGAGCCAGGGAATTAGCATTGGTACAGTGCCAATGTATCCTTCTAATAGTGAAGGATGCCCATGTTTGGAGAAGCATTGGTCTAAACACGGATTACTGATTGGTGGCAGGTAGTCCAAGCCTAACTGTACATGTGTGCTGTCAGCTTTTAGGGGCCTTTAGTGGTTTAAGTGTGGAATCCACATATAAAATCTTCTTCCAGCTTCTCTTAAACACTGAATGATGGAGAAATGGTCAGCTGACCCTGGTTGAGTTAATTAGTCACAGCTGCCCACAAGAGGAACAAGGTGTCCTCTGGCATTCCTGGACAACTCACATTTGCATTATCTGTATGAGCCACATAGGTATGAAGTCTGTGGCCACTGCTTATAGAATATTAGCAAGCCTAGCAGGTAAGCATCACCTGGCAGCTACAACTTCACGATTTGGATCCATTATTAAATGTGCCTTTTCCCCATGACAAACATTCCTCATCTGTATATACTGTGCATTCTTGTAATTACTTTATCTTAATTTTTCCCAGTGGGTGTGCTTATCCTTGAGAGAAACATTTGCTCAAATGACTCTCACAATAATAATTTCTGGCACTTAGCTTTATCTTAATAATCCATCACTTCCCAAATTCAAGGAACAGGTTGCAAAATAACCACCAAAGAAAACCACCTTTAAAAACTATGCAGTTTAAGTCAGCAAGGTGCCTCAATGGACAAAGTAGCTTGTGGCCAAGACTTGTAGGATGACTTCAATTCCAGAAGCTCCATGATGAAATGAAAGAATTCAGTCCCCCAAAGGCCATGAAATAGGAATGGCCACACATATGCACATGTGCATACACACACAGAATAAAATTTTAATGAGGATCAGGAGACTGCTCTGTGTGTATGCATGTGCTTGTCTGTGCACATGTCTTGTGTGAGCACACATGCACAACCATGCCTGTGTACAGAGACCAGAGGTTGACGGCAAGTGTCTTCTTCTCTTAACCTTACTTTTATGGACAAGGTGTCCCACTAAACCTGAAACTTAACAATTTGCCTAGACCAGCCAGTCAGAAAGCTAGAAGCCTCCTGTCTGCCTCTCTCGCATGGGGATTCCAAGTGAAGGACAGACTTGGCGCTTTTTTGTGGGTACTAGGGGTGTGCAATCTTAAATCTCCTGTGGTAATTCTGCAGTGCATACAGGGAATCAAACATTTCTAGTTTACAACATTTAGAACATCTAAGGCCCTAAACAACAAAGTCATCCAACCTAAGGCAATGTTCAGTCTTCAAGAATCCTAACCTAATTCTTCAGGAAGACAACTGCTGCCATTAAGATTATCATGGTGCTGGCACAACAGGATTCGGACATGCAGAAGATTGCAGATAGATCCATATCTGTCACCATGCACAAAACTCAAGTGCAAATGGATCAAAGATCTCAACATAAATCCAGCCACACTGAATCTTCTAGAAGAGAAAGTGGGAGATACCCTTGAACAAACTGGCACAGGAGACTGCTTCCTGAACAAACACCAGTAGCACAGACATTGAGATCTGCAATTAATAAATGGGACCTCCTGAAACTGAGAAGCTTCTGTAAGGCAAAGGACACAATCAGTAAGAGAAAACGA